AATGACTTCATGGATCTATGCTGCATCTTGGTTTGGCCATCCCCAGCTTTCTTCCTACTTAACACCACATCAGTCATAATCATGTGTCGAGGTGGGCTACCGTTGAGGATATGCAATTCGTGTCCCAATTATTTTAATCAATGACGAGTCACTATCTAACCAATAGATTTTCCATCTTTACCTAGTACCATGCATTAAATCTCAGAGTTCCTAGCACGATATTCTTAACATACACATACGAATTGCCATCAAGGCATCAATCATCAAATACTAGAAACCTACGAATATCTTCTCTTTTTAAAGGTGACGTTTCATATCCATAAAGTAGAACAAAGAGGATGGATGTACCGTAATTCCATTCTTTCATATGCAGACGTGCATTTTGCCTACACCATAAGTGACACAAGTTTTCAAAGGCCGATCGAACCTTATGAATCCACTGGGAGTGACAAGACTTCCAATATAAGTGACAATCTAAAAAGTAAGGAATGAAAGGAGGTTATATCTTGAAGACTTAACTGTAAGATTCAACCTTATGGTTCAACAGAAGAATAATTCATGAGAATTTTAGAAGACGTAGTGCTCACATCTCAGTATGCAAAGTGGTGAGGTATGGTTGCGTTGTTCAGAAACAACAAGGTTCATTGCTAATGGAGAAACATTACATAGACAATAATTTAAATGACTTGTTCATACTTTAAAAATAGATTATTTACAAACGACTTACCAGTCAACTGGTTTTAGTCCAGCTAAACATAAACTTATATTATATTCTATTTGTTTCCAACTTGAATTAAGGAGTAAATATGGACCGTAACAATTTATCATTGTACGCCATGGGAGTATTTCTTGAGCTTTATCGACTTGGGACTCCAATGGTTCTGGTATGCTCAATTCGATTGCATTTACACATGGACGTTGAGAATTAGATAATTCAAATAATGGAAAATGACTATTTACCGTCAATTCCTAAATGTGTACAAAAAATAAGTTATATTACTTCTATGTTTACGTGTTATGCTACTTAATACATAGTGTTACATGGTGCTTCCTAATAAGCATTATGCATGATAACTTCATTCAATGTAAGTCACAAATGTCACCTTTTGAATATTCTTCAATAGAAATATAAATTACAGAAAGCAACTGTTAAAATATTTGTTTTTACACTAGTCATACATTGAGCAGAGAAGCCATTTAGTGAAATTAAGCGTATTTTCAGACTGATATGGAAGATGGTTAACTAAGATCAATTCTGAGAAGTCAACTATAATATAGATACATCTGATATGAAAATATAAGAATAAAATTGCATTCTTCTAAATGAACCATTATTATTGAAATGGAATCCTATAGAACATGTAGATTTGTGGTTTACGTTTTAAAACTTTTATTTCTTAGTGAATATTTTTCCATTCAACATCAATGTCATTAAAATATTAATCGCTAACACAAGGACCTAAATTAAAGCCCTTAAGAAACTTGACTGCCGTACAAAATCTAAAAAATTGAACCAATGTTGTACAAGTTGGTGTTCTGATTGATGATCTTGTCACATTACAAGACAAAAGACATAACAGTATTGTCTACAAAATCGAGACGTAAATCAAACAATGAAATGTATATAACCTGGATATATATACATAGTTACCGAAACATACAAATCATTGATCGATTCTGGATTTTATTGATCAGGAATACATATTAATTTATGACAAAATAAAAAGAAATTTGCTAATTAAGAAAATATAATGGATATATTTTGATTATCATTTAACGCAAAACAGTCACAGATTATAAGATGCTCTAAGATATACTGATGATAATAACATTGAGGATAAAGTTGAAGTTACAATATGTAATGAAATAAACATCACGTGATTTAAAAAATAATCGTGATAGAATTATCACATTGAATGTAAGAAATACTTCAACTCACGTTATAAGCATCTTCATTACCAGCTGCCAAAAATGTTTCCCCTAATATGTTACGTATGCAAAGATCAAATTTCAAAAACATTGTCTCACGTCTAAGAGTTAGAAGTTGAATGATTTGTTCTGGATCTGCTGAATTCGGTAAGCGATTTATTTGGTACTGAATTTCTCTTAATTCTGTGACTAAATTTCAAAAGAAATGCTGACAAACTAAAATTTACATCTTCATAAAAAGAAATATATATGTATATATATAGTCCTAAAACGTAATTTTTGGAAGAAAACGTTTCTTTTTCATGCAGAGAAATTTTTATTATGCAATCTCTTTCTTTAGTCTACTAATTACATTCTTCGAGCGAAACCTCTGAAAAATGAATATTCGTTCTTCTTAAGGAAGCATAACGCGGCCTAATTATTGTAAACAAAGTTTCAGGATACCTGGCTCACTATATGACAATAAACCAATACATCACAGGTAAATGATCTACGTGACTTTGAGCTTCAGAAGATTAGTCAATAAGGTGTGTTTGTAATTTTAAAACCAGTTCATCATGAATTATATTAAGTTTAGTTGTTTGCAATTACACTCACAAACCTTACAACTGTGTTATCGAAATCTTATAATGTCCATACTTAAGGGAAGGTCAAGTTTATTCCTAATAACATTGAATAGCTGTGAGCTATTGGATATTATGACTAAAATATTATGTATTCTGGTTAACAAAATAGATACGTAACAATATGTCAGTGTTTCTAATAAATAAAGTTCGTCCATACGATCAAATTCACTGTATAAACGGAAAATTTCAGAAAGCGATACAAAGGGAAAAGGTTTCAGATGTTAGAACACATCAGAAGTGTTATAGTGTACAAAATATTGTTTTTTTTAAAAAAAGAAACACAACTATAACGTAGTTTAAGTTTTCCATATTTCAGTTACAATAACAGTTAAAGATAATGTTCAAACAAACGATGTGAAACGGAAAACAAACTCTATAAATTAGTAGCGTTTCAACCTTAGTGTTGTATTTTCATATGTATAATAACCTAATCATATACTGTGAAACTTGTCGTTCGTATGTAAAATAAATCACTCAACCAAAAAAAGTACATTTTCTGTGCAAATTGATCATTAACGGATAAATAAGAATAGTTTTAGTATCAACTACATAAGTATCAATAAACAATTATTTTTAACTAGATAATTTACCTATTAACTGATCGACAACTAGACTGTGCTCTTGTATGTTGAAATTCAATGGTGTAGTAGGATCAGCTAGTGTTGACAATGCCAATGACATACTTTTATTTGAATCAGCTGATGGGACATTTGTAGTTGTTTGTTTTAAAGAATTTACTGTTTTTCCAGTTGTTGATCTGTCAGTTTTTATTTGATTCTAAAGTGCATATAAAAGCATAAAAAGAGATTCCTACTTATGTATTTTTAAACAAAATGCTTGGTGTAATTCTGTCTATCAATTTAAAACAGGGAAATCCATTGAAATATGATCATTAACTATCTATAATCTTGAACTGGGACGAAAGCAAATTTTTTGTGAACTCTAAAAATGTATATTTAATAATATTAGGTAGTCAGAAGCAGTTGACAGGAAATCTAGGATATCGGACTCGTCATAAAGGTGAACCTGTAATATTAAGGTGACTAATACTCTCTAGTGAGTTCAAGTATGTGTCACATATCAAATTTGGATGAAATTAAAGGAGTATACAAGCATGACATTAGTCAGTGTTCAGGGGTAACCAAGTGTATATACCTTGGAAGTAATGTCACAGACTATCAAGTCGGATGATACAAGTTCAAATTCATCAGGGAACATCGATTCCTAACATTTCTAAGGTATCTGTTGCTGCTAAGTGTAAAACCTGATGAAACTAAGGTGAAGGGTTTCCTGATGACTCTCTCCGATTGACATCCTTACATAATCCACACGACGTTGATTCACCGAAACTAGTAGCTACATTTGAATCCGGTAGATAAAATTCGATCAGCATTAAGAAACTAGAAAAACAAAACATTGATCGATACTCAGTGATCAATCGTTAATAACTTACAGTATTCAGTTCGTTTGTTACGCGTAAGGTGATTTTTAAAGAAATCTCGATGTTGATAAATAGGCCTGTCAATGAAATAACATACACGTGCTATGCAAAAAGAAGTTATGAAGCACAAAAATGCTACAAGTAACCGGTAATAAATTAGTGGTATCACTGAATTTGGAATAGGAGTACGGAATGAGCATGTTTGAAAATGAATGTAAAGGATTCAGTCTGAACACCTACAACATTCGGCTTACATGCAAATCTAGACTAAATAATGAAGCTAGAACACTTGAATTCCATTGTAGAGCACTAACTACCTAACTCTATAACACATTAAAAAAAGATCAGATAAACAGATTACTCAAAGTTATTCCTCTTCAGAAAACTAAAACTGCGTTTACGAATGTGACTATCGTTAAAATCAAGAGTTGGTAACCCTGAACGCTATAAGTTACAACCATGATCTCTATTATCAAAGCTATCATTATTCTGTTCTGACGTTTTAATCTGTATACTACAATCTTTCGTAGGTTTTGTCGTCCTTTTTACAACTTCTAAGCTATTTATGGACTATATATATTCCTTTTATAAGCTTTCGTTTATTCGACTGACTACTATAATACGATTCACTATCCCCAAGTTATGCCCAATAAATTGGTTACAGTATCTCAAAATCACAGCACGTTTTAGCTTAATCTTGTATAATTGTTATTTCCTATTTTGTGGAATGATACGTTCTGGTTCGCTTGTATATAAACGAAGTATATCTGAAAAATATGATTATTACAGTAGAAGATTTGTTCTGGGCTCAACAGGCAGGACTAGACGAGAAGGACCAATAAGGACTATAGACTGTTCGTATTGGTCAATACGTCATTGGTTTGGCACAGAGCCAAAATTGTATAAGTCGTGTTCTGATTGGCGGTCTTATCATGTGAGAATCGACAGGCTACAAGAACCAACAATGATGATTTCTTTCATTTAATAAATCTTTTTAATAGTCGTATCACTTAGCCAAGTGGTAATCAAAGTATGTAAAATTAAAGTGAATACTCCTTTACTAAAAAACAGATACAAACTACATCTTTGACGTTATATATGGTGACATCAACTAGGAGATAAATATGTTTATTAAATCATAGTTTGAAGTCATATAGTTCAATACATGAGATCAACTATTTCACAGTAACAGTAATCAGTAAAATAGCATTGTGTATTGTCATATGAATGAACAAAGAAACCATAACTTTCCCAAAAAATCCTAAATATACGGTTCATAAATGTAATCAAAAGTACTGAGAATGAAATTTCGTGATAGTATGTAGTATACCTGATAAATGTAAATATACAGAGTAACAGTTTCCTATGTCAGACAATGTTTCTAACTTTTGAGTGAAATTTATCAAAACTGTGTTTGCTGTACTTTTGTGTCATATTACTTCTATCAATATGTTTTCAAATCATACTTAAATAAATCAAAAAATACTTATGTGTCACTCCATGTACCTACTTAGTCTGTTCAGTAAAGTACACAAAGATATAGAATTTACCATGGAACATGAAGTTGATGATAAATTCCATTTCCTAGATATTGGAATTAGGCGAACATCAGATGGCACATTACAAAGACACATTCACCGCAAAAATACTTGGAGCGGAGTTTATCTCAATTTTAACAGCTTCTGTCCAATGAGTTATAAAAAGGGTATTGTGCGAAACCTTTTTGATCGCGCACGAAAAATCTGCTCAAAAGAATGCCTCGAAGAAGAAATTACTACAATCACCAAATGCCTACGTGAAAATGCATATCCGGATAAATTCATCCACAAATATGCTAATACAAACCCTCCGATTAAGCATGATACAGTTGAAAAGAAAACCTGCTTCCTATCCTTGCGCTTCAAAGGAGATGAAGTCGCCGGAATTATCAATCACAGAATTAATTCCGCTTTAAAAATGACCTACCCGGCAGCCAAACTGACTACGTTATGGAAAACATACTGCTCACTGAAACAAACGAAAATCGACAAGTCCTCTCCCCTCAGTTGCTCCAACTGCATTTACCAATTCACATGTACGTGCCGTAGCACATACATTGGAAGAACTGAGAGAAGAGTACAGTTTCGCATCTCTGAGCATATTCCGAAGAACTTGACGCTGCGAGGGACTAAAGCTTTTAACAGTGCAATAGCTCGGCATCTACTTGACACCGGGCATACCGTCGATATTATGCGCGCGTTTAAAATTATCAATAGACAAAGAACTACTACCACTCACCGCTTTGCTGAAGCCATTGCAATTAAGAAACTGAAACCGGACTTATGCATCCAAAAAGAGACTTTAATAAACTTATCACTACCCTGGTAATCCTTTCGTTTCTGTTTGTTTTGTGTTTTGGTTATCTTATTCATTTACTTATTCTAAGATATTTTATACTGCCCCCTATTACCTAATTCTTAAAATAAATTTTATTCACACATTTCCACCACCTGATCCTTTTAAATCATCTTAACTTTCCAAACCCTATTTAATTATTATTACGTAATCTACCTTATCATTACTTAATTCCATTAATCTCTACAATTATCACACAACTTATGAACTTCACTAAATTATTACACCACTCACCCTGGATTAACCCCCCTCTTTTGACCTCTGACCAGTTTCTAGCATATATATCTAGTTATTATTGTAATCAAGTTATTTACACTCATTTATGTCAATTGTTTCACACTATCTCCATGTAAAAATTCTATCACAATTTTGGTTTGTAAGCAGCTGACGAGAAACCTCGAAATAATATGAATTCATACTATTCTGCATCAATGTTTGTTCTTGCTCTATTTAAATTTAAAATTATTAGGTTTCTGATGATTACCTAAAGTACAATCATTCCGTAATACTATACCTGACAAAAATGTCTCGTTGGGTCATTTTAAGACTGCTTTTCATATGATTGCTAAGAGATTAAATAACATAAATGAGGTTTGTTTGATAGTTGAACCATCTATGCTCAAAATCGTCATTAATTTTTTAGAGACACTTACAATCTATGAAATCTAGCCTCTATTTTAATATATAATTGTCAGCGTATATGACAGTGTATATGATCATAAGGTATGTTTGTAAATTAATCAATTTCTAACAAAGTTATATTCATAACCATATATTTACAAATAGAAAAAACTCTAGAATGATCATCTCTTAGATTATGCTTACTTTATCAAAAGATACGGACATTTGATATTTTTGTTCAGCAGTTGCCTTGGAGGAACTAATGCCTAATCTAGCATATGCAACTAAATAATGTAAAATATCGTGTAAAGCACGAGCTATCCTGGCCATTAAACGCAATCCTTTAGTACAAGCTTCATCATTTAAGTGACGAAATACAAATAAAACTTCAATAAAATGTGGTATAAACCATAAATTATAAAATTCAGTTCCATCTGAAGATAATACACGGCGAGGACGATTACGTAGTGATTTGAAGTCAGTTTCTTGTTTACCCAACTCTTCTTCAGGTGATTTCTTTTCAAAAGCATAACCGATTATAAAAAATTCTTCCCTGCAAAACAAATATTTAAAAAATGCTATAAATATTCATTTATATTAAAAATAATGCAAAACTGACTAAAAGTCATGGGTTCATTTTTAAATATAGTGGCCTAATATCTTACATTTGACAATTGTCAAAATATCTCCCGCAAATCTCTATAATTTAGTAGCACTCATCAACAGAAATGATTCAGTGGCACCATAGAATTCGTTACTCGAATTTAAATATGTCCAGTTTTCTACTTTACTAAGCTCATTGAATTTTCGAATTGACATCCATGAATGTAAGTGAACTAAGCCAAAAATTAGTATTATTGATAATGAATAAAAAAGGTGGAAAAAATGTTCAAGACTTGCAGTAGATTACATTAAAAGGTTATTATTAAAAAAAACAAATATATTATTATTAACTTTATTTAATATTATATTTTTGGTACAATGTAGAATTCTCAGCACAAGGCATTTCAACAAGTTTTCGTTTCTTACTTCTTGGTCGATCCTGACGATAAGTATTGAGTGGTTGCCAGTTATAAGTTAGTAGTCCAGTCGATCGACATCTAAATAATGTACATTCTTTTCGCTGCAAATTGCCAGCAACCACGATATATCTCATTGGGTCTTTTGTAACTTGTGAACTATTTAAAAACGCACCTGAATAGGTTATGTGATTAGTAGCCATAATGATATATCAAAATAAACAAAATTAGATTACTCGTTGAAATATCTATTAGACCAAATGCTCAAGCAGGCTGCCAGTTAGTCATAGTAGGTTTATAGTTGGCTTAAATGAGTTTTTTCATGAATAATAAACCGTTTTGTGTTGCTGGTGTTTGCAAAATGTTTATCCGTATAAGGAATTAGTTTACAACAACATTACCACCTTATTCAACTAATAGATTCAGTCTAATAAAAATGTTGTTTACAGAATACAAAATGAAATAACGATTGACAAAACGAAGGTATGCTAATTCAGTCTAGGTAACCTTTCTAGATCGCCATTAAATAGGATTAATGTAATCAATGTATGCAATGTACACTCACATATATAAAACAAAAATGGTGACTATGGATTATTAACTACTATAATAATAGTTTAGATAATTATGAAAGATTATGTATTTGACTTTTACAATGATGGACTTTATAATGTTAATGCAAAGAAAACTATTAAATTAATAAAAAATGGGATTAGTACGACGGTGAGTGAAAAAAAAATTATTAACATACGGGATTTTTGGAGATTGTAGCATTTTAAAAGTTTAAACCATGAACTAATCATAGTTAGAGCATCATTGAAAACTTTATAGCACTGGATAGCCGTCTCGTTGTGTTACGAGTCTTCTTAGAAGTATGCATTCACGACTCCGTGATCGAGGATCTAATCCAAGACCTCTGGTCTTGAACGCAAACGAATAATCTTTAGACCACTGAACCGGAATCCAACGGGAATAATGTTTAATTTCGGTCAATCTACGATATTATGTGACCATCTTCCATTGCCTGTGGTGAACAACAGTCTTGTTAGATTCCTTGGCATACTATAACATCCATTATTACCTTTTCATACAGATTGAACTCATATTTGTTACACTCAAATGTCAATATTCTGAACCTTGAACAACATTAATCAAACTTGGTTCCCAGTAGTCGTAGTCAAAATCAAAGATTCTTTGATGACAACTCCCAAAGTATTGCATGCATGACTTTCATAGCCGATTTCAGCACTAGATTTGCAGCTCTGAATTTGCCGATATGTTTTTTATTAAATATCAGTGACTAAATAAACTATTTAAGGAACATTTGTTTTAAAAAACAATGAAGAAACACTGAAGAAACCTACCTTATAACTGGTACATTTTCGAGTGTAATTAATATTGAACTATAGGTTTCAATAATTTGTGCTCTCAGCGATGCATGTTGTACACGTTCACAGTAATCGTGACAAAATTGTGAAATAAATTCACTGAAAAAGAAAACAACAATAAAAGAATAAATTTAGTGTTACCTAATCAGAAATTGAAAAACAATTTCATTCAAATGAATTAAGGTTATTACCATAGTCATAAGAGGGTGAAAGAAGAGTGAAATATTAAAGGATTTCTACATATCCTCCAAGTAATATATATATATATCCTCTTTGAAAAAATGTATTTAGATAGAATAAATTTCAGTTTATATCGCCTTGTTTTCAATCATTCATCGGTTCAATCTTCAAAATAGAGTACTGAGCGGAGGAACAGCTTTGACTATTTCACTCATTACTAAAAATCTTAAATGTACATCACAAATCAAATGATTTATTTCCTAAAGACAAATAATTGCCATCTTAAATGAGCAGCTACATACACCAACATTAGAAAAAATTTGAGGAATAAACAAAATTAATAATGAATTACCGTTTCATTTTTTCACTTTCCGCAGTACTTTTAGATGCAGCGATCCCACCACCTTGTGTCTTTTTGATGAATGCATTGCATACTCTATCTCGACTTGGTCCCTTAAGATAATAGAAAGAAATAATTTTTTTGCGCTGTGACTTGTAAAAATGCAATATTTATTGTTTTTACTAGCTGCACAACAAAATAAGGAAAATTTTCCAAATCACTGTCAATGGATCATAGTCGTCGAATGAATTTTATAATTTAAACAAGATAATCTGATTACCAATCCCGATATTCATAAAATATCTTACATAAAACCATGGCTGATATAATGTGAAAAGCTTACAAATCACACAATACAATCTGATAAAACTTTTGAACAAGCTTTAAATTCATTTGGTTTTGTTTACTTGTATCTTCCCATTGTTATTTAGGACTGCAATTGATCAATCTCTTGTTAGCATATTTGCATCCTGTGCGGACTGTCTCGATATCGCCTTAAATCACATGCTTTATAAACGAAGATGGATAGTGGCTAACAGTGGAACCCAGAACTCGAGTTTTGTCCTATTTGGAACTGGTCAGATGGGTAAACGAAACGCGCGTCCTGGATTCCACTGCTGGCTATTATCCATCTTCGCTTATAAAGCTTTTGAAAAAGCCTTACGTAAGTGAATATTTATATATATTTACTATAAATAGCTTTTTCTTCCCACTCTTACGCAAACCATTTAATGATAAAATATAAAGACAAAGTAACTATTTGTAATATCTAAATAAACACAAAATAATCTTGAAACCAAATGTTTCGCAAAAGTAAGCGCTGATTAAGAAGCATTGTCTAATAAAGAAATATTGACAAAGTATTTTGTTGAATAATTTAAGCATCTGTTTCGAAATATACATGCTTCATAATCTTGAGTTCAAATATCGGAGCTATTTTATTATGAAATAATTTCATTGGGAAAAACTTACCCCTAAACTACCAAACAATTAAATCTAAATTATGCTTTTTACTGTTTTATAACTAACTTTTTCCAGTTGAATTGAGAAAAATGCTTCTGGATAGTACTCTGCATTCAGTTGGTGAGTTGATCGCTCAACAGCTAATGGTGTTGGACCGATTCGTGCGCCGCTGACATCATTGTTATTTATTGAGTTATTTCCAGTATCAACAGTACGAATAAGACCATTTCTAAACAGTATGACATTGAAAATAATAAATAGTTGTAGTAAATGAATACCAAGTATTTAGTGTAAATCAGTATGATAAGTTATTGATTTTAAAATTATTCTTTATTAGATTTGTACATACTATATCAACCAGTCCTCACGACTTAGCATTGATTTGTTATAGTATCTTGAGTGGTTATTTTAGTTCATGAAGTGGTAAATAAAACAGAAAACTATGGGATATTTACGGCACAACTCGAAACAGTGCGGATAATATCACTTACATATTTTCTTCATTTGACCTAGAATAACTAACACATTATTCTTAACTTGTTATTTCTCGTTTCTCTCACTGTATTCATATTTTCTAAAACATGGAGATGTTTAATTTCGTTTATTTTTAATGGTCTTCCAACTGACGGCAGTTCATGCTGATGATAGTTGGTATAATAAACCTCTGTTTTCACAAAGTAACTAGATTTTTGTGCGAGTTCGAGCTCATATGGAGAAACATTTAATAAGCCAAAAATATTGGACGTATGTTTGATGCTCTTCTACACTCGTCAGATGGATTTACTTGTGTCTCCTGTTAGAATTGAATCCGTATAAACTAGATTGTTAGTCTGAAACATGATCGCTGAGTTTTTTGGTAGTCAGCGAGCACCCTAGGACTGTAAGTTGCACATCAAAAACATAGTGTATGTGATAC